TTAACCGATTCCGTTGTCATGTGATCTCGACCAAAAATCTGAGTTTTCCAACTTTCTACCGTGGTTTTCACGCGATCACACTTCATACAAATGTCAAATGGTATAATTGTTCTGTAGAAGAAATYCCACTGTAAAATTACATAAAACATGAGAAATGTGCAATTCGAGAAATCATATTTTACATTTATCTGCACTCTCTAATATTGAGCGTTATTGAATAGATATGTGAAAATTGGTAATCAAACGACGGAATCCAAAGGGATAAAAGTGAGATTTTGAAAGACCACTTTTTTCTTCAACTTTTCTCCGAATGAATTTTCTCCGCTTTGACGCGCGTCAGGAATTTAATTTTGATAGTGCACTGTAATAGAGGATGATGGTGGTAACGGCGTTTAAATTGCGTTATTTAGTTTGAGTACTTAGGTATATTATATATGTATATGATGGTGAATATTGGTGATGTCGTGTATAAAAATAAAACCAGTGAACTCGTYTCGAGTGTGGGTACGTACTGCGTACCATATGGTTGTATAGCTCTAATACAGGTGAAGTGAATCATGGTGCAAGTACCCATATATTATTGTCGACGAGTATTTAAAAGCGTATTTTTTTTAAAATTAGTTTCGAGCGTGCGCCGTACATTGCATTACATATTATTATTATACTTACTTTAATATTTTATTATATATTTATCAACTATAAAAAAACCAGATAAAAGTTAATTGTTTTCAAACTTCCAGCTTAGTGACGGAAAAAATCCCCCCCGGATCATTTGACGTTTCAAAATCCATAGTGGAGATGGATGAGGGAAGGGAAACGTTAAAATACCCAATTATTCGGTCTGGTCTCCCCTAAATATGGGCGTAATCTATATTTTTATGATTGGGTATAATATATTTATAATATCGCATCTATGAAAATATTATTTTTCAGAAATTTTCAACGTATACCTATATAGCTCACACGATAGTTTGTTTAGGCGTTGAATGTCACTTAAATACATTAAACAGTCCCCCTCGCCCCCTCGAGTGAATTTACCGAGTGGCTACTTGACTTAGAGATGGTCGTGACTCATCTATATATGATAAAAGTGTAGCTTCGAAGAGTGCAAATGGAAATAAGTGGTAATTAACCATAGGAAGTTACCATCGTTATTCCGAAAATCACATGCATACTCGCATATACCAAGGTTCTAATCTTCACGTGTTCTAGGTGATGAATCAGTAGTGTGCCAACATTACGCGGCGCGGTGATCATCSGGCAGTCATGTCACCGCACTTCAGTCAACGACAGCCGCCGCAGTACGCCTTCCGCGACGGTGACGACGACTACAGTTGTTATTACCACTCCGGTTCGTTATCCGGCGTCCCACGGTTCCCCGTTCCAACAACAATCGCCGGTCAACAATATTTCTGCGCAGCCCCGATAGCTTCCGGTTCGCCGCGCCGACGATGACGGCGTTATCATGACCGACCGCCGGTACAGCGGTAGCTGCGGAAGCAGCAGCAGCAGCAGCAGCAGCAGCAGCAGCAGCAGCAGCATCAGCAATAACGGCAACAACAGTAACAACGGCTACAGGTGCGGAATCAAAACGCAACTGCATGCACCGTCGTCGGGCCGATGTAACTACCACAACAACAACAACAACAACAACTGCAAAACCGGTGTCATCCGACCGACGACGGCCGCCATGCACGTGAGGAAGACGTGGAAGACCACCGTGGTGATATTTCTGGCCGTGGCCGCCGTCACTACGGTCACCGCGGCGTTTTACTTCAATTACGCGGCGACCGCGTGTTGCGCTGTCGCGCCGCTGTCTTCTGCGTCGCTGCTCCAGGAACGGTCCAACACMGCGGCCGCGGCCGCTGGCAACGAGCTGAGCCGGTCCAAGCTCGTTGGCTCTTCGGCTGTACGCACTTCAAAGCTGTACACCGTGTGCGAAACWCGCGATCRCCTACGCAGCCCCGCCGACCAGGTAAGAATCACGATTTGTAATTCGTAGCTTAAACAGCAGGTCACGATACGAATGATGTCGATTGCGATTTTTTTTAGAGCTTTTCGTTCCACAAATTCGAGGATATATGAAATCTTGAAAATATTCGTTCGTTTTCATTACGTATAGTGATCGATTACATTCAGCAGTCTAAAATATATTATAATTTTTTTTTTTTTGTACATATTTAACACATTATATAAAACCTGGAGTTAACTTGGGGGATGGGCTCTATACTCCCATCCAAAAAATGTATATTCAATCCATACACATAAACATGGGGTAGTCAATTTCTAATTTCCTTTAACTATATACAGAGTATACAGATTACATCACAATAAAATGGTATCGACCTTGAAAACATTACACCTATTCATTGAATAGGTAATTAAAGACTGCGAAAAATAGTTACTATATATACCTATTTATTACAGGCCCATTAGGTGTTTTACACTTTTTAATTTCGTACTACACTGCAAAGTCTGTCGTGTATTGCACACAATTTTAGTCCCTGTGACGGATAATATATATATATATATATATATATATATAATATGTTACGGTGAATGTCGAAAATTGGTAAATAACATCATTGACAGGGGAATTACGTCATTTATCAAAATGATTCGATTATTTAGGTAAATGTTGTAAAAAAAAAACACATTTTAAACTCAAATTTACATCTTTCCCCGGTCACCGACGTCATTTASTAAAGCTGGTGGCAAATGATGACAAACCTTGAATTGAATGCGGAATGTAGAATTGGTTTTGTCACAAGTCCTCTTTTTGGATTCGATTGTTTAACTTGACAATAACTACATAAGTCTAATATGCCATAACTGCCTCCGTTGTCACATTACAAAATATTTTGTTTTTAACATAGCCATCATCCTAGCTATTTCTACCACCATGTCCTACTGCCAAATGTGCCGTGTGAATTACTTCAAACAACTCGTCTACTGTGTAGTAATATAAAACGTCAGTCATTTTCAACTATAGGTTTAATTAATTTTTCTTTTCCGCCAATTGTTACAACATCATATTTATGCATAATTATATTATTTGTTATCGTTTTTTTTTTTTTTTCTAATTTTCAATTCTTTTACTTTTTGAATCTTGTTTCCAATTTTTAGGTAAATGATGTCATTTACCGCGTTTACATCATTCACTATAACATATATATAATATATATATATATATAAATACACACGACGACTAAACAGCGAAGGCGATAGGTACACGTGCCATTCTGATCCCGGAAATCGTCATGATATTTTAGGTAAATATTATGTACGTCCTTTCATCGTTGTATTCATTCGGTGAGGTCAAACCACATTCGTTTTACTCAAATACCAGAGTTCAGAAACTCGGTACCGTGAAAACGTGGTTTCGGGTCGTGTCATGTTTTTTCCAATTTTTCATTTTCATATTTGTCTATCGTATATGTATTATCATAATGTTATCAAATATTTAGCAACCACATGACGTATATTTAAGACTTGAAATTTTCCAACTTAACGGTTAAGTTTGATTAGACAAGAATCATTCGATTTACATTTAGTTTTTCATAAATATATAATATATACCTACTGCACATAAACGCTATACTTAGAGTACTGTGCATACATGGGCGCCCATAGTTAGCTTTTTTGGAGGGGGCAAAACAACAAAATTCTCAAAGCTGAATAATGGTTTAATSTAATTTCAATATATATATATATATGATATTATTTATAAATTAATATTTGTTTGGTATTATATAATAATTAAAGTTCATTTTAATAAGTACTGCAGGTACTTGAGGTACTATTTAAAAAATATAATCAAATGTATAATTCGGTATACGTAAATAAAAACTACCAACAAATTTCTTTAATTCATTCCAAGAATATTAATTATACTATACTGTTATTGTCTGTTGTACGTCACAATTTTTGAGGATGATTGATTTAATATTGACAAAACGCCGAGCTTAAAGTTTAAAATATGAGATGACATGTCTCATTTCTTATCTTTCTATAATCGTACTGGGAACGATATAAGTGAATGTGGGATGGGAGAGAGAAATAAAAAAAACCTGTAGGAAATTGATTTGTTTGAATTGACTGGAGATTTTTATATTGAAATTAAATTTGGTTACAAGAATTCGATCGGCATTTGACTCGAACTATGGATAATAGAAACGATTCAGAATAACATCCTGATTGTCCATTATAAAATTAGATGTTTTTACAATATACATCACTCCTAACGATTTCTACGGGAATAATTGACCACAAAAATAATAACAGTCTACGCATATGGAACATGGACTATATATAGGTACGAAAGAACCTCGAGAGAGTGACTCGTAGTCGTCGAATAAAAACATTATACAATCAAAAAAAAAAAAATCTAAAAAATAATAGATAATCTTATAATGATTAAAACGAGGAGAAAAATAACGATCAGATTATACATTTTTTTTTCCTATCTAAATGGAAACCACCACCACCAGTCTTTTGGCTCACCAGCGATCATTATAGGTATATTGAAATAAAATAAAAAACATAACTGAAGGAATGGATCACCAGTGGTCTCGTCCACCGCCGTACTTCAAGGCCTTGAAACGAAAATGAAATGATGGTCGATTACGCGACGGTCGTCTTCGAACAAGATAATATTATGGATAGTAATAGAAGGGTGGGGAAAAATGAATAATTCATCGTAATAGTTATTAGTGAGTCTGTGTGTTTTGGTTATATAACTATTATAAGGTGGGATAATATCGTCGTGCAGATTGTATTTATAATGGGCAGCATAGTTATCGACTCGGMGAAAACGGAACTGTCATGACAACACATATTATAATATTGTTATACAAAATCATGCAAAAGATACTACACTAATAATAATTATTTGCATAATATATGCATTAAATGTGACAAACAGAATAAGGGGAAAAGTAGTGAACTACTGTTTAATTGGTACTTAAAATTCAACTCGCCATTGAGTATATAGGTACCTATAGCCGTATAGGTCACTGTCTATCATATAATTTGTTACATTTGAATATCATAATACATTTTTCAAATTGTTGTATACGAATAACGATTCTGAGCGAAAACTGTGGTCTGTCAGTCTATTCAAATATATTACTGCTATATATAATATACAGTGTCCTGTGAGTATATACCTAACCTATTAGCCGTAGAGGGGAACTCACCGCCCGGATGAAACCAAGTTTTTTGCCGTTTTATCTATAAACTAAAAAAATTATTAAAAATCGTGAAATTAATAAAAATAAAATGTTGAAAGGTCAAGATTTTCAGAAAA